GGTTTTTGGAACCTATTTATAAACGATATCATAATTATATTATTTTTTAGCAGTGAATCTACTTATTTATGTGGTTTAGCGCAAAGTTTCACAACTGGCTATCTGTGCTCTATCCACTACGGGAAATCGAACCCCGGGTTTTAGCGTTATAAGACCGTAATCATACTGCTGACCCACTGGGGGACTTCAACAATGAAAACCTGATTCGTTCTGTTATTTGTGAAATAATAGAAAATAATAAACACCTGGGCTGAAATATCTTTAGCTTCATTATTTGTACGTATTCATCAACACTCAAGATCAACGTGTGTTAAAGCAACAAACGTAAAGATTAGGATCAAAAGAGTTCGTTTTTTTTTCTATAAAAGTATACAGATTGAAAAATATTACCCTATATTAGAGTTCAAAGAATATTCACGTTTTCTTATCCAGTGCTGTGTTTTTCAAAACCAGTAGATATGCGACATATAATAATTTTGTTAATGTTTATCATCAGCACGAAAATGGATAGTTTTGAGAAGTTTGTAATTCAACCTTCAATCCATATTTTCAAAATCTCTTGTCTACATAAATCAACCTTTCTTTAGTACATTATCTCAATGACAAATAACAGTAGAAGCGCAGATACAAGCCGTTAGCCAAGCTGACACGTTAGGCAGATTTGTGAGCGAGCACCATTCGTTCCGTGTCATCCCAAAGATAGGGCTTTCTTGAATATATGATGTCTTAGATAACCGTACGAAGCGACAGCCGAATCCCACCCCATTCCTCGTGAAATACGATCGATCTGTAAAATTTCGAACTCATTTCGATTTCTCAACATTGTTCTATACGAGTGGTTTTATAGATTTTCGGGCAGTGCCACTCGGGGACTGTCTGCGCTAGCGGTTCCTAATTTTGAAGTGATAGACTAGAGGCTCGTCAACACAACCGCACCTCAATTTGTGGGCTAGTCTAATCGAATAGTTGAATTTGACCGTCACTCTTTTAACGCACCCACGGCCCCACAATGCGGAGCATAATGTTTTTGTTGTTGTTTTTTGCAGTCCAGCATGCTGACCACTAGGCCACGACCAGTCCTTTATACGAGTAGATTGTGAATAATAAAATATTCTTAGGAGTTTTCAGACCTTTTTAGTTTCTCTACTTTTGTATGTTTGTTGTGATTGTGCCCCCTCTTACACACACACACACACGTGGGAAAACGGTAACTCTATGGACTTATAAGGCTAGAATCCTGGGTTCGATTCCCTGTGGTGGACAAGGCAGATGGCACTGTGGCTTTGCTAAAAAACGGCCTGTTGTGGCTGTTATGATATTAGCTGTAAGGATCGTCAGTTGGGGTTAAGATAGATGAGAAAACGGCCGACTTGTGATTATTCACATTCACTAAAGGGTTAGTGGATTACAGGACTCTAAGTCATTAGAAGATTATTGAAGGGAATTGCGGCTTTTCATGTTCAGCAGGTGTGAAGGTTATCGAACCCCCTATGATTATGAGACGTTGTAATCTGATATAAAGTGTGTCCTGCAAAGTTTTGGGAAAAGGAATATAAAAGACAGGAAGTTCGGCAAAATAAAAAAAAAACAGGAGATGTGAGAGAAACGAACAAGCTGAGAGAGAAGCAAAAGAAGAAATTAATATGCTGCCACTAAAAAACAAAATATATTTCTAAATCGACGTGCTCTTGATTATAGTACTAAACAGCAAGTTGTAAGATTTACATTAGTGTGAGTCAATTTCTATAGGAGTAAGTACAAGTTAAATAAAGAAGAAGGATAACAAGGGAAAGCGAAATGAGGGCGTAGCACGATGGTAGGAAAGTGGTATCAAAGCGATCTGGAATAGTTGCAAGGACGTTTGTAACCAACGTATTAACATAATAACAGGGTGAGAACAGCAATGAGGTCAAACTATTTCTTCGTGGTATTTACTACTGTACAAAACTTGCAAAAAACTATATACATACAACTCACCGTGCAACATCCTGACCACTTAAATCTATTTTTAAGCCCCCCCAGTGGCACAGCGGTATGTCTGCGGACTTACACGGCTAGAAACCGGGTTTCGATACCCGTGGTGGGCAGAGCACAGATAGCCCTTGTGTAGCTTTGTGCATAATTAAAAACAAACAAACAATCTATTTTTAAACAGTCATAAAAGTCGTAATTTAAACAGTAAGACAATAACATTTTTTCTTCTTCGGCATTCAAGTTTCTTATTGCAATTTATAAGTTTTTTACCTTTGGATACTGCTTACGAATGAACCATATAGATGCGTTCATGATGTTATGAAAACACGTAGGTTCAAAAATCAATTAAAGAGGAAAGTACGAAACCCTACAACCCGATCGCTTTCAAAAGGTGGACCTTTCTTCATCAGGGGCAAGCTGGGAATGACTAAGGAAAGTGAAAACGCTCGGGTTGTAGGGTTTCGTCTTTTTATCAATATAAATGCATGTAACCAGTCAATGTATTTGTAAAAATAAAGCCTCAGTATCATAGAGCTCCGTTACAACTACATCAACTGCAAGAAAGCGAAGGTGAAACCCACCTCGACGTAATTTGTGACAAAACCCCAATATCTAGGCGAGTAACAAGATTGCTGATACCGAATTGACTAGATGTACGAATTATCATACTTGGATGTTCTATAAATACAGATATTTATCATTAAATAAAGACTTTCAAAATGTACCATGTTACGAAACATCATTAAATTAAAGTAGAATTAATTTTAAATGAATTGACCCAATGCACGTCAGAATATGTGTTATTTACTTAAAACTCATTGGTCACATTTTAGTATTTTATTCGTCATTAAAACTATTCATTATTTCCAAAAAGTTCACAAGAATGTTTTATTTTTATTTTGTGAATAATTTCTAAAGATTTGATGAATACAGAAAGATTGAACACGTTATGTTAAAGCGAAATTGAATAAACAAATCAGTAAGTCACATGACAAACACTGGCGATATAAAGTCGTAGTGGAACAGCATGTATCAGAACTACATGTTGACGTTGTTTGGAGTTTCGAAAGGATCGTGATGCCGAAAATTGATCACCTTTTGGAAGAATAACAGATATTTCTGACACAAAATATCCAAACACTAAGATAGTAAAGATGTATTCAGATTGGGAATGTAGAATTTATAAGACGAGGATGTCCCTTGTACTTAATGGCATTATAAAAACAAAGGAATTTGGATTAACTTGGGACACCAAGACTTCCAGAAAGAAACCTGCAACAAGTAGTTTCACAGCCGTGGTAAACAACGTACAGTGTCTAGTTACAGAAGAGAATCCATAAACATAAAGGTCAGTGATAGAAACTGTCCCCGTGTCCCTACAACAGCACTCATGAAGGATCTCTGTTTGGGAAATCGACAAAAGCTGTTTCCACGACATATCCATTTCAACCTCAGTATGCCTTAAAGCAGCTTTAGAACGAAACGAGTATTCATGTTATTCCATATGAAGACATACCAGTCACCTCGCCAGACGCATCGCCTAGGGATTTTTGTGCTATCGGTCTCATGAAACGGGTGCTGGGAAACTGTCATCCTCGTAAACTAGATGTTTGTTTTGCTTTTATTTTTGAATTTCGCGTAAAGCTACACGAGGGTTATCTGCGCTAACCGTCCCTAATTTAGCAATGTAAGACTAGATGGAAGCCAGTTAGTCATCACCACCCACCGCCAACTCTTGGGCTACTCTTTTACCAACGAATAGTGGGATTGACTGCGACATTATAACGCCCCCACGGTTGAAAGGGCGAGCATGTTTGATGTGACAGGGATTCGAACCCGTGACCCTAAGATTGCGAGTCGAGTGCCTTAACCACCTGGCCATGCAGGGCCCGTAAACTAGCTGGCTT